TATACCGCGGTGCTGGAATTTACCACTACCTTCAAAGTTCAGCGTCTGGAAAATTAAGATCTAGCGTATGTGAACTGCATCAAGAAACACTGAATTGTGAAGAGTAACCTTTTTAATTTTGAGTTGAGTCTTGTTGGTAGGGAGTACTGTGAGAGAGCGGCTGTTTCAGGAGTGCGACAGGATACAGCCAACCCTCGCCACACATTTTTAAGACGTACATAGTAACTTCTTCCTTCAGTTGAAAGTGTTGGTTCTCCTCCATCTGCTGGTGGACAGCACATTCTTTTGTGATGAGTTTAATTCAACTTCAGCCTTCCTGTGTGCTTAGCTACAGGGACAGTTGTCTGCTGGGGGTACATTTTGCTGGTCTTAAATCTCAGTGAATGCGCCGTGGTCAGATGTGGTTCTTCCTGCACGTGTTTGCTCTGCTGGGGGCGGATGGCAGTGACCTCTTTACTGGTACGGAAGGGGGGATGTACGTGCAGGCAGGGTTAGCTGGTCCAGTACCAAGTTTGGTTAGTCCTTTGCAGCTGCAAGCTGGAGGAGGGTTTGTCATGTCTTGATACTGCGAGGAGGCTGAGAGGTTCTTTCAAACCTGGTCCTCTTCACCAAGCTGAAGAGCTTTCTGTAAGACTGTAAACCAAACCAGTGTTGTGTTTTTTTTTTCCTGAAGGGAATAGGAAATAGAAAGACAGTGGTCTTTCATCTCATCCCAGCCAATTTTGCATCCTCCTTTCCATGAATTATCTTTGGAAGCATTGTAAACCTGGAATTGTATTTTCTTAGGAGGTTATTAAAATATCTCGGGTTGACTGGAGACAAAAGATACTCAGATGGCTGAGATTTAGACCCAAGAGATGGCCTGTGCAGGCTTTGGGCATGGTGTTCAGTGTGAAACTGAAGACTGGCCTAACTGGAGATGAGAGTCCTGCTCTGATGGATGCCCGATCCAGCAGCAGTTCCCAAGCTCTGGAGATGGCTGCAGTGTGTGCAAGTCAGGCCTGCAGTCTCCTTAATTGGAGATGACTGACCATGCGTTAAGTGCTCCGTCAGGTATCTGACCCTGCTGATGCATTCCTCCTTAGATGGGAGAAGGAAATGCCAAAACTGAAGTCAGGACCTTTTGGGGGCGTACTTGATGTCAGCTGAGTGTGCGGAGGAAAACATGAAGTACAGGACATAGGGACCTGCTGAATCACAAACCACGACTGATTGCTGCTTCTTGCCTCCTCGCTGACGTTGTAGAGACTAGAATATTAGGGAAAAATGGAAGGCTTAAGCCAAAAAGAGATTTGAACCTGGGGGCATTAAACTTTGTGCTCTGGGCAGGTGTCCTGATGCCTGGACAGTGGAGTGAGGCATTCTTGCTTGATTCCTGTCCTGGAACTTTCATGCAAACAAATCACTGTGAGGAATCATGAATTTCTTAAATTTTCAGTAGTGTGCAATTCAAGCCCAGATCTCTGAAGTAATGATGTTGTCCAGTGTCCGTCTCCATGGTCAGGGCCGTGTTGTGTTTTGTTAGTGAAGAGCTTGTTAACAGCAGCGAGTGTGTGAGGTTTTGGAAGTATTAAAACCAACTTCGTACATTTAATTCCCAAACAGAATTTGGAAAATGACTTACAGGGAAAGGTAGTTCAACTTTTATTCTCTTTTGTGTTACGCAGGTACTTCGATGGCAACTTGGAGAAGCTCTTTGCAGAGTGTCATGTAATTAATCCAAGTAAAAAGTCTCGAACGCGCCAGATGAACACGAGGTCCTCAGCCCAGGATATGCCTTGTCAGATCTGCTATCTGAACTACCCAAACTCAGTGAGTACCAACAATTCCCCCAACTTTATCTGAAACTAAGCATTTTGAGCAGAAGTCTGTAAGGACCTCTCCAAGAGTATTTTTTAAAAAGCGTTTGAAATGAAACTGAGATTTCACTTTTTTTGTTGCATCTTCCAATCTGTGGTAGGTGAATGAAAAATAGAGCCTTTTATAGGTGTATAAAAGAACTATATAGAAACTATAAGATAATTTCTTAGTGCAATAAACCTTAAGTCTTGTGTGCTGCAGCTGATCCAAGTACTGCATTACGCAGTAGGGAACCTCAGAATGATGTAGCACTTGATGCATTCTCTTTAATTCTTACTGTATGGTTTGACTGACTCTTTTTTCTTAAACAAGCCTCAAACAGTTTACACAGAATGGGACTGTGTTTGAAATGAAGTGATGATACCTTCCACAAAAACCTTCAACGGTGCTGGGTCTGGGGAGCAGTGGAGTAAAGATCTTCAGGGGAAAAAAGCAAGCGGTAGATCAAGTCTTTTTTTTTGTTTTTAACAAATGTCAGATATCGATGAAGACGTGCAAATAAGTGACAAGAGAGAGAAAAACTGTGGAAAGCATGATGGCCAAAGGGCCATCTAAAATAGAGTGATAAGACAGCAGTAAAAAAAAAAGTAGTAAATAATCATGCAAAATAGTCGAGCTAGAAAGCCTAGAAGAAAACTGAGTAGGAGCAGAGGTAAAATAAAGTTGTTCAGAGAACACAGCCAGTGTGGCTGTCTCTGGATCTTTGTCATGTTTGTGCAATACCACCTTAATCTGGGAAGATGAGGGTCGAAGTGCTTGCTGTGGCTCTGAATCACTCTTGTGGTTTGTGGTAAGATTGGTGACGGTGCTGCTTTTTTGTAGCTGTTTGCAAATACTAAGAAAGTAATTTTGATTTTTATCTCCAGAAGAGGTGGTCATAGAAACGTCAAGTTTAGGTTACACATTTTAAATACGTTAAAAAGCAGGAAAACGGTGTATTTGCTCTGCTGGATGGGAACACAAGCCCAGCACTCACAACTCGCAGCCTTTCTGCTGGCTGGGGATATGTGTGGCTGGCTACTGGAAAAGGCTGCTGGCTACTTTTTGGCTACCGAAAAGGAAAGGACTGCTCAAAGCACACTAATACTTCTTGGGTTTATAACACGCTGAAATAGTAATGGCCTGGTTTTTTAGATTACGGTGTTGCAAGTGAGCAGAGGTGTCTCTCAACTGTTACTGTTGACTAAGTCAAGAGACAGCAGAGGGGAACCTCTGTTTCCTTGCCATACCCTGCATGTGGAGCGTAGAGGAAAGCTAATATTTATTGTTTCTTCTCCCAGAGCTGTAGTGTTTCTGTGTCTGAGGTGGCTGTAAGCCATCTGGTTTGAAATCTGTTTTGGTCAATGTGAATTATAAATTGCAGGATGAGTTGTTAAACACCTAAACTAAAATCTCAGCTTTTCAATCTTCTTGCAGAGGTCAACTTTCCCCTCTCCGCCCCAAGAAAAAAGCTGCATTTTTTTCCCCAAGAACCCCTTTCAGCCTGTAGGAAGCTGGAAGTTTGCAGTAGCATTTGTTAAGAAATTTTTCCAGCGTACAGCTGCTAGAGGAATGCTAGTGTGGAATATTCACCCTCTCACGGGGTCATTGCAGGTGGTGTTTGTCTTTTAAAGCACATATAAGGGAAATATGAAGTCTTTATAGCCCTTCAGTCGTCCCTGCAGAAATGTGTTTTCAGGGAAGCTCCTGGAAAAGGAGGAATTTGATGCTCTCATGGCAGCCTGCACCCTGATGGTTTGCAAGCTCAAGAGACATATTTTAGTCCCTCTGGGTCCCTATGAACCAGTGTCAGGTCCCAGCAGTTATTTCAGGTGAAATGCCAACTGGTGAAGACAGGAATGAAGAAGGTTTTGGCTTTGCCCACCTCCTCTCTTGCATCTTGCACTTCAGGCCCTGTTTGAGAGGGAGGCTGCCGGGGTGGGGGTCTTTGGGGAACATTCTGCCGTTGGCCAAATGCAGAGATGACTTAGTTCACAGATTCACAGAATCGCTCGGTTGGAAAAGCCCTCTGAGATCATCACGTCCAACCGTTCCTGTCTACCCCCTAAACCATATCCCTAAGTACCTCGTCTACCCGCTCTTTAAACACATCCAGGGATGGTGACTCCACCACCTCCCTGGGCAGCCTGTTCCAGCTTCTGACGACCCTCTCAGTAAAGAACTTCCTCCTTATCTCTATCCTGAACATCCCTTGGCACAGCTTGGTGCCGTTTCTTCTTGTTCTATCCCCCATCACCTGGGAGCAGAGACCAGCACCCACCTCTCTACAGCCTCTAGTTGGTTGATGCTGTCATCATTACTGAAGCAAAGAAGGCCTGAGCTAGGCTGTCCTGGTGAACACGTCTTGGGGCCGACGCTGCCTTAGGTCAGTTTGATGTCATTAGAAGAGCAGGGCCAGGGATTGAATGGCAGCACGCTGCTGCCTCGCAAGAGGAGTAGGTGATGAGTATAGATAGGGTGAAAGCAGAGCTGTCCCCCGTGGTAACGGGGTGCTTCAGAAGACACTTTGCCCTTTACACTTGGTGGTTTTGTGTTGGCCTTTTTGCTCACTCCCTTGACATCTGCTGTTAGCTTAGCCAAAAATAATTGGGAACTCCCTCTAAAGAAATGAGTTGAAAGATGCTCTGAATTCTTTGCAGCCTGGGAGCACGTGTGCTGGCTGCCTTTTATGTGGGCATTTAGCAAATCTTTTCACTGCCTGAAATAACTGAAATGAGCCTTGAATGAAGATTTGTGCTTACCTGTGTTGTGTTGCTGCAGGAATATTTAGTTTTGTTAAAGGGTTATCTCCTTGTCCATGCTTATTTCCCATCACGTGTGGAGAAGCTGTAATTCTAAGAAAAGTTGGTGCCAGCTTCAGGCTGTGTGTTTTTGGCTTCCCCAAAGTTACAGGTGTTGGGGCTCTTCTACCATAACCCTTTATCTCCAGAGGATGTCACTAGGCTAGGCCACTTGCATTTGTGGAGTTTCGTACAAGCTGATGGTATCTGTAGCTGTATCTCAGCTGTATCTGTAGCTGTATCTCAGCATGGAGCTCTTGTTTTATCTCCTTAGCTTGAGAGGAAGATGGTTTGAAAACCAGAGCCATTCAATAGTAACCTGCACAGTGGTATGAGTGAAGGGTTTTAAATACAGATTGTCTTTGCTCCTGGCTCAGGGTATAAAATAACAATAAGGTGACCTGAGAAAAGTAACTTCATTTCACTCTTTCCCCAGCAGTGTTTGTTTCTCCTCCCCTGCTGCAACCATTCAGTCCCAGATGGTTTCTTGACGTGCTTGGTGCAGATGATGCACGCAGATGAAGTTGCCCTTGTTGCTGTCTGCACTAGCTAATCATTATTGAATTTGATTTAGTAATTTACACCTGCCAATTAGGATCTCTGGTGATCTTTCATCTGATGAACATCTGGGCTTCAGGGGGAAGCGTACCAAGCAATTGGCAAACTTTGTGCGTACGCCTCAGAAGCCTGCAGTTCTTTCTGTCTCTGTAGTTTAGTGCTCACCCAGTAATGCAGACTGCTTGCTGAGCACTTTCTGTTTCCTGTACAAGAGAGAGGTAAATCAGTGCCTGTGCAGAGCTGGTGTGCGTATTTTGGGCCTTCTGGACAGCACCCACGTGTGGTGTAGCAAGCCAAGTAGAAAAATGGGAGAAGAGGAGACTCCGTATCATCATCTATCTGTGACCTGTTTGGTGGTGGGGCATTTATTTTGCTAATTTTCAAAAGTAAAACATGGGAGAGCCATGCTGTCCTCTCTGTACGGTCCTAAAACCAGGATCAATTCAGGCAGGTGGGATGCCTTTCCTTGCTGCTGGGGCTGGGGATTAAAGTCTGCCTTTGAAAGCCTGCCTAAAGCTGTCATTCTTTGTCATTGCAGTACTTTACTGGCCTAGAGTGTGGACACAAGTTCTGTATGCAGTGCTGGAGTGAATATTTAACTACCAAAATAATGGAGGAAGGCATGGGACAGGTAAAGTGTCAACTCACCTATGTCGTGACTTACTTATCTGTGGAAATTCTATGTGTATTGGAGAGGAGGGGGAAAGAAAGGGGAGAATTCTTCCCCACTGAAGTTTAAAAACAAAACCAAAATAAAAAAAACCCACACCAACCAACAAACCAAAACCAACCAACCAAAAACCAGAGAAAACTGAAGCCCCAATGCTTCAGGGGCTGCAGCCTGTGCCACACATGAAGCTGAAGGGAGCTGCATGGAGTTGGTGCCGGTGTCTTTGCTCTGGGTGGGAGTAATTGTGCAGTGGCACATCTGGGATGTGATGACAGAGCCAGGGCACTGGTTTTGCTATGGATTGTCTGTTGCCTTGCAGTTCTTTGTGATGTGAAAATAGGATAACCGCTGTTCTTTTTATGACTGTTTTGGTTTTTGTTGTTTTGTTTTGGTTTTTTTAGACCATTTCATGCCCTGCTCATGGCTGTGATATCTTAGTTGACGACAATACAGTTATGTAAGTATCATGAGTTGCTACCTCTTGGCTTTCCTCTCTTTTTCCGTTTTGTTACTCATGTGCTATTCAAATGTACTGGCTTATTAAAACCCAAAAAGAAACTGCAGAGAGGTTGGTCTTGAACTGTTTGTTTTGGTACTGGTGTGTCTGAACTTCCTGTTTAGCTCTGGAAACCCCATGCCACAGTACTCAGAGGAAAGACTCCTTGACCAATTTGGTCAGCATGACAGCAGAATAAACACCAGGTCGCCTTTCCAGACCCTGTTTAACTGCCTTGTGCATTTTGTTACCTTTGATTTACGGAGGAATTTAGGACTTCCTACCTAAGTCAACCCACTGGTTCACCAAGTCCTTACAGCTGTAGTTAATGTGTGAGTCAGAGGAAAGAAGTCCTGTGTATGGTCCGGTGTAGGGTGTGTTTTATGCCCTCTGATAGAAAGCAGCTGCCCCTCGAACATAAGATTTGGTTAAGCCGGTGTGTCAGCCTGCGTTACTTTGCTTATTAAGTTGTAGGGTGACTGCTTGTGCATGGTGAAGCAGTGAATTCCACGAGCTTCCTTCTCTGTTATATTGGGTGATGTTATTGCATGAGTAATATCCTTCATAATTCTGAACCTTGATTAAGTTCATTTTAATTCCTCATGCTAAAAAGCGTCTCAATAGAAGCTTATTCTGTTACCTTATTCCTTCCTTCCTGAAGTCTGACTCACTCATTGATATTAATTTGCTGGTTTTTCCATCAGACTCGTGATTTCCCATGTCCCTCTGCATTAGTGACTCCACGTTAGTCATAAAGTGTAGGCTGGGTAGAGGTGGAAGTAGCTGAGATGTTTGCTTGCCCTGTTGAGGGGTGGCTGTTGTGGAGCGTGGGGGGTGGACACTGAACTGAAGTTGGCATCACCTCCTGAGTGGCTCGACTGAGATTTTTGTTTACTGGAGCCTGACCTCACCTTGTGGTGTACATCACAGCAGGACATTTCTCGAGTGTTTTCTTGATCGCAGTGGTTTGAAGAAGCTGTTCAAATAGTGCACGTGGAATAGCTGAAGTTGTCGGAGGTTGTGATGGAAAGGACAGGAGAAGAGAGCAGCACTGGCTTTTGTTGCTATGACTTCTGTTGCTATCGCCTGAAGTTAGTAGTAGGTCTGGCTATCCTTGTGTTTCACTTCATGGCTTTTATAGTGCAGAAGACCACAACCCTGGACTGGATCTGTGTAGTTTTCAACTCACACCATGTGCTGTGGGATTCCCCCCCACCTAGAAATTGAATCTGCACCCCCTCCCATGTCCTTAATTATTCTCTTTTTAGGTCTTTTCCTGTTTTCAAAGTCTCCAGCTCTAAGTTTCCAAGCTACAGGAACCTCAGATTAATGTGTAATGTACAGAGACACCAGTTTTCCATCAGAAAATCGGAGGACGTAGGCCAAGTTATTAATTTGCTTCTTTCTCAGTACTTGCCCTCGACAAGGCAGTACACCTCCAAGTTGAACGATCTCCATATGAGTCCAAACTTAGCAATTTGGATGACTTCCCTGGATTTTTCAGTACTTAGCTAGCTTTTTGTCCATTTTCCCTGTTACTGTTGAGCATAGTAGAAAGGTTGAAGGTCTCTTTCAGCTCTTTCAAGACCTTCACACTGGCTGAAGGTAATCTGTGTCTGTCCCTTGTTCACCCTTGCTAATGCTGCTGGTAATTGCTTTAACCTACATGCAAAGATGTTGGTTTCATTAGTAAGCAAGGCAGGCTGCCTTTGTTACTGCTGTGTCTAACGGCCGCTGCTGGTGGGCGGCAGCAGGCTGGTAGTAACTTCTGAGAATCAGCCCACTCGGTGGCAACGCGTGGGTTTTGGGTTCTCTTATGGAAGTCGCAGGGAGCGCTGCCTCGTTTTTAATCTGCCTTTGCATCATTGCAGATAGCGGCGCTTCTGTGTCAGATCAGGGTGTAGGGAGGTCTTGAAGTAATTCCTTTGGGAGTCTGTTTGACATCTCGCGTGCATTCTGCCAATTCCACTGATTGGGGTCTTTGAGGAGTTTGCATGCTCAAAATGAAACACGAGTGTAAAACTTACAGTCTGATAAAGGATTGGTGCTGTGGTTGCATGAATTTTTTAGATTTCTGGCAGCTCAGAGATCAAGGGTTAAGTCGATTTTGCAAGCAATTTGCTTTTCCAACCTGGCTTTTAAGGTGGCACATCCCCCAGAGGATGGTTTGTGGGCACTGGGAATGGTTTTCATCTCTTAATTTATCTAGTTTCATTTACTGTTTGTCAAAAGACAGTAATATTCAGAGTAAAATTCTTGAAGGTCTCGACCTGAGCAGTGCTGTGGAAGTGCCCTTTACCCTAGGGCAGGTGAGGTTGCTGACAGGGAGCGATCGTAGGATGTTTGGTGAGCAAAACCAGCGGATTGCGTACTCTGTGCGCTCTGGTTCGCTCTGGCATTACTCTTAATCAAATTCTAGTTCCGGATAAATCTGTATAGTACAATAACCTTTTAAATTGACATTTTTTTATTCCTAGAAGCCTGGGTATGGGAGTAAGAAAGTGAGATTTCTAATTCCTATTAAAAGGTCAAGTAGCTTTTGTCATTCTTCAGTGAAGTTTCACCGCAGAACTGCAGGCTTGCCATGGACATGGGCCTGATGAGCGTTGTCAGCCGATTTTGTTGCGTTTTAGCGCTGGGTTTGTGTAATAACCAGCGTGGCGCTCAGTGAGGAGCTCCTCGTACCGCTAAGGGTGAGGGTTTATGCAACACGGCACTGTCACGTGCGCTGCTCTTTAATAAGTGTTGGCGTGGTAACGTGCAGGAGCACGCTCGATTTTTTTTTTTTTTTGGCTGCATCCTGAAATGGATAATCTGTTAATTTAAATATTTGCATGTGATGCAATCTGTATAAAGCTCTATTCCACAGTGATTTGAAACAAATACCACCAAGTGTGTACTGGTCTAGCTTTATGTTTCTATATAAAAGTGCTCAGCAATACATAATTATTTTGAATATCTGGCCTACGCAGTCTGCAAATGCCAGCTGGGCTGCTGTGTCCAGCAGAAAAGCGGTCACCGTGCTTTTAAAGGCTGCTGCTCTCTCATTTTCTTCTGCTGTCTCGCATCCGAGCTGACTGACTTAAGTCAATGCTGTGTACACCCTCTGTGGTGATGAGTGTAAATCAAACTTGGTTTTCTGGTAAGTGTATTAAAACTGTGCTCACTTGGAAGCTGTAGCATTCCATAGCAACCCTGATAACGTTGGACCTGCTGAAGTTTGTCATTGCACAGTAGTCGTTGTGGAGCTTTTTAAAGGGATTTGCCACGAAATGTGCGTGCTCAGTGTAAATGAACAGATGAAATTGTTTGCCCTGTGTCTTGGGCTGTTGAGGAAAGCGATTTGATTTGTTGTGGGGGTTTTTTGTTTGTTTTTGTTTTGAGGTTTTTCGTTGAGTTTTGGGTTTTTTTTGGGGGGGTGTTTGTTTGTGGTGGTTTTTGTTTTAAATCCCCACATCAAGAGGTTCAGTTCTTTTGAAATGTGTGAGCTTTCTGTGTTATTCTGAAGCAAATATTAAAAGTTGAATATAACAGTTTCACTGTAATGTAATACAGTAAATGAACGGGTAAGGACAGGGAAAAAAGTACAAGCAGAGCAGGAAGAATGAAATAACTTGTGTCTTAACTTACTGGCTACGTATGAAATAAAAATGAGTTTTCTACTACAGTAGAACTTTTCTGTTTCTTCCCTTTCCACAGGCGTCTGATCACAGATTCCAAGGTTAAATTAAAGTACCAGCATTTAATAACCAATAGTTTTGTAGAGGTGAGTGTTTTATTTGGAATTTTTCATGACTTATAGGTTGTTTTTGTCTTGCATGTACCAAACCAGAGAAGTGAGGCTTGTTTGGAACTGTGGAACACTTTTTTTTGCATAGTCTCTAACCAAGTGTGACTACAAGTCGGAGGCTTTGCAGGGGTTATTTTATAGCCTGTTTAGTTACCGGTATATTTGTAGGAAAATACTAAAACAATCTGCAGGTCAAAGACTGAGAGAGATAAGAACCAGGTGCTGTTGGAAGTAAAGCTGCAATATTGCTTCGAGGAAAATCCTGATAGCTCTGCAACCCTAAAATAAAAATAAACTTAGAGAAAGGTGCTTTGGAAGATTTTCTGCTGTCCCAAGTTCCCAGCTGTGCACGTTCAGACTCACTGTAGAGCCCGGTATGGAAGTTGTTACTGGGATTGAGGTTTCGCTCCTTGTTTGAAGTGTGGTATGCAGTGGGTTTTTTGTTTTTATGCAACAGTGTTGCAGACTGAAACACGAAAGTAGCAGTGCAGACCCATACCCTGCAGGACAGCGGGAATGGGTGATGAGACAGCGTGTTAGAAAGTGGTGCTTGTAAAAACCTAGTGTGCGTGGTGTGAGCGGGGCTTCACTGCTGTTGCAGTGGTGGAACAGAGATGGGAGGTGCAGACAACTTGACAGATGCGCTTTTTTTCAGTGGAAAGCTTCATATTCTTCAAATGTTTTCTCGGGGTTAGCTAGGGGGTCAGCAGTAGTGTTTATGCTGCTCATCCTTCCTAAGAGGCCATTTGACAGTGAAGAGATGAGTGTTGTACTGCTTGCTTTGAGTAGAAAGCAAAGGAAATGCTCAGATTGAAGCACCAACACTCTCATTGTAGAGAACTGGCAAGACAGGAAGGAGTGTGACTGAAGGTCATGGGTGAAAGGGTGAAAAAGGGGTGAAGGGCATGTAAGAGCTTTGTGCAACATTCCTTTTTCTATCACTAATTTTTGTTTGCTTTATTTCATAGTGTAATCGACTGTTAAAGTGGTGTCCTGCCCCAGATTGCCACCACGTTGTTAAAGTCCAATATCCTGATGCTAAACCCGTTCGCTGCAAATGTGGACGTCAGTTTTGGTAAGAACAAGCAAGTAGAAGTTGTTGATCCTCATTTTTTACTTAACGCTTGGAAAATCTAATAGTATGGGTTCTGTAAGTCTTTATACTAGGATGTGGTTTAGGCGGTGTGCTTCAAATGGTAAGCTGGGATTAGGTACAGCTGGTTGCAAAGCCCATCACTATGGAGCTGTTGCTCTCTGTGTCTTTGGCTTCCTTTGACATGGAGACAGATCACTGAGAGGTGTTGTTCAGATTAGGTGAGGTTCTTGACTGCAGGCACTGTAGAGAATTGACAGGTATTAAGATACATCCAGCTCTGAAATGGTCACTGAGAGATCTGAGGGTGGTTTTTTGGTGTGTATAATGTTTCTTAAGGACTGGCTCTGGTCTCTTCAGCAGAACAACTCAGAAGAAAACTTCCACAGTGTTAACCTAGTTAAATACACGTATAATAATCTACCTTACTTGCTTATTTCTCCTTTCTTTCACTTACAGCTTTAACTGCGGTGAAAACTGGCATGATCCTGTTAAGTGCAAGGTGAGCATGTCAACGTTCTTGTCTAAATGCAGTTTATGTGCAAGATACATAGAAGTGAAGCACAAGCTTTGTGGCTGTTCACATCAAGAAGCATAGTAGTTGACTTTTTTAGATGGTAGCATGAGAAAGATCAGCAAAATCATACTGGATGCCTTTAGGATGCCTCAAAGGAAAGTTTTTCTGGTGAAAAGCTGGGTTTGTATTGACACTGTCAGAAGCTGAAACCAAGCTTGGGATCCTGTGGCTCATGCGGAACTTGTGGACAGCCACGTTCTGTGCGTTGAGCACGGAGCAGCGTATGTTTCCAGTGACGAATCCAAAACAAACTCCTCTGGGAAGAGAGGAGGGGAAGCTCTCCAAAGGTTTAGTGTGGTTTAGTTGGTCTTTCAAGGCCAGATGTGGTCATTTATTATCTGGCAGGTGCAAGCAGTCTTTTGCTTTTGTTCCTTGCATGCATTTGATAAAGCCATCTTCCCAGTATTGTTTGTTTTTTTAAAAAATATATAAAAATAAGGTGGGCAGTCTGGGTGTGAGTGGGCATTGCAAGGCTAAGGAAAGCTGGGCTTGATGTATGGCCAGCCATCGCAGGGGGGCTGGCTGCAGTTTTGGCAGATCATTGTTATAACGTCCTTATTTTAGAATCCCATGTGAAATTTGTGCTTGTTGGACTTAAAAACTGCAAACTCCTCGCGGAAGTGTTTGTGCTGAGTGATGGTGCTTGCTGGATCACGGTGGTGCTGCTGGAAATGTCTGCAACTGAATGAGTTGCTGCTTGCACTGCTTTTCAGCACCCACACCCCCCATATTCCCCTGGGATTATGCTCTCATTACCATTACCTGAATGTAAGCAGCTGGCTTGGGAACATTTGCAGTTCCTCTATTTAAGTGTAACTCTCTTTTTTCATTTTTTTTCTAACAGTGGTTAAAGAAATGGATTAAGAAGTGTGATGATGACAGTGAAACTTCTAATTGGATTGCAGCAAACACAAAGGTGAGAGGTTTTTCTCATGTTTTGCATAGACTTATCAGATGAAAAGGATGACAGCCTAATTCCTCTGTACTAGGGTTGTTTTTTTCTGTTGCATATCAGTAGTTAAGAGCAAGCCTTAAAATCCCTACAGTACACTGAAGAGCTCTTTGTTTGAAGAGCACATAGGTGTTACTGCCTCAAATCAGATGAGGTTCTTTGTGCTAAGTGGAGTTTGTTCTTCTGAGAAACAGTTTGAGACCCAAAGGAAGCTCAAATTTTTAAGTCTTCGGGCTCCTGTCTGGCACTGGTGGTTTCCCTAAGCAAATCAGTGCCTTGCTGAAGAGTGTGAAACATGTTAACACCACCTGTGGCTTGGTTTGGCTGTGATAATTTACATCTGCCTTTAAATCCTCTGGGTTGGCCTCTTGAGGAGTCTTTCATTTCTGCTGGGCAGGCTTCCAGACAGCGACTGGCGGAACAGCTGCTAAGATTTTATTATGTAAATGCCTTCATTCCAGTGAGCCCAACTTCGCCTGAAACTTCAGCATCTGCTCAGTTTGGGATGAATTGAAACAAAGGTTGGCATGGTGGCAAGGAAACAACAAAAGCAGCAGAGCAGTAAATGCCATTGGGAGGGTTCGGAGCAGACCTGGGGCTCATGCCTGCCAAGCCAGGCGGGTGGAAGAAGGTGGGGAGGGTGTGAGGAAATGGTCGCTTTGTTTTCTCAGCTCTGTTGTGTAACTGGTTAATGGTATTGTTTGCAGCAGTGGTTGCTGCTTTCTGGGGCTGGCTGCATGCTTTTCATTGAGCTGGTATGTGGTGGTGTGGTGAAAGCAGAAACACTCATGGCGCTTCAGTGCACAGTTAAAATTGGGCTGAAATTGTGCAGTATCGGCTGCTGCTTTCTGTTTCGTGGGCTGAGACTTGTGTGGTCCCTGCTTGGAGGCTGAGCGTTGCTCAGTAAAGTGAATTTGGCTTTTTCTGAGGTGGGTGTGTTTGGAGATGTGTTGTGGCTCAAGATGTGAACCGGATTTGTTCGAACTTTGTGTGATCTTCAGGTATTGCTTGTATTAAACTTGAGGAAGAGTAGCCAGACAGCTTGGAAAGGGCTGAGCATGAGCACATGCAAAGCAGCCTTAGCCTTGGGTATCGAATGTTTGGGATGTCACAATGGCCACAGCCCCATTTTTGCCCATGACAAAGCCCTTGGGCACAAGCCTAGGAGCAGCTGCCCCTCAGGGGTGTGACACCAGTTACAGCATTGGGCTCCACATCCTCTACCTGCCCCGACCTTGCTGTGTGCTGGTGAAGACCAGGGTCTGAGTTCACAGAACACAGAATCGCTCGGTTGGAAAAGCCCTCTGAGATCATCATGTCCAACCGCTCCTGTCTACCCCTAAACCATATCCCTAAGTACCTCATCTACCCGCTCTTTAAATCCATCCAGGGATGGTGACTCCACCACCTCCCTGGGCAGCCTGTTCCAGCTTCTGACGACCCTCTCAGTAAAGAACTTCCTCCTTATCTCTAACCTGAACCTCCCTTGGCACAGCTTGGTGCCGTTTCCCCTTGTTCTATCCCCCATCACCTGGGAGCAGAGACCAGCACCCACCTCTCCACAACCTCCCTTTAGGTAGTTCTCCTTGCTGGTTTTTGTTATAATCAAACGTTAAGCTTTCCTTTACTGGATTCTGTGCCATTAAAAAGTCTGAAGATTATTTATGCATATATCTTATGTAGACCAAACATGAACAATCTGCCACTAAGGCTGGCTACTGGAAATAGGAAGCTACTTGTCTGTTTCTCAGACTGGAAGGTGATGGTGATTTCTGGAGCTTGCTTGCCCAAAGACTTCACCGTAGACAGAAGTATTGTAAAGGTGGTCATCCTTTTTTAATTTTTTAACTAGGATCTAGACTTGGTCAGTTAGGAGCCGTGCTAGTGGTTGGGCTGGTATTTAAAGCATGGCTCAGAGTGTCAGAAATAGTATGGAATGGCTGGATTAAGAAGGGTATTTTTGGGAAATGCTCATCCAGAGGACGGTGAGGAGGGGAAATGTGTGGCCAAGCCATGCTGCCATCAGCCCAGTTGATCTGCTAGTTCCTGTAGCCTGGTGTCAGCAGCAGCAGAACTGTTGTCCTTGAGCATCCCTAAGCTACTTGCTCTGATACCTTGTGAGAGATGCTCCTACAGCAAAAAAATACTTTTGAGCCCCAGCTGTACAGCACCAACAGGAAGAAAAATAACATCAGGGTAATTCCAGCAGGCATTTGACCAAGCCGTCTGTCCTGGAGTCTTTTCTGGCATCCATAACAGTTGAATTAATGCAAGGACGGTACCGCAGGAAATGTAACCCACCCCTTGTAATGATCTCTGGCTTCTCGTGGGCAGCGAAGATGTGGGAAGTTGTAACTTCACACTGCTGTAATGATGAAGCACGTGAGCAATCGGAGCTCTGCAGCTTTGGGAGAACCGGATCGGCCCGGAGCTGCAGAGCTGCCAACCACCGCTTCCTCTTGCCTGCGTTGCCTGCTGGTCCTTGGCCACAGGCATGGAGAAAGCCAAGTGTGTGACTGATGGCACTGCAGTCCTGCTGCTCCTCAGAGAGGAACCGAGTAAAATCCTTCCCTGCCGTAGTGTGGGTTTGTAGCGATACGCTGGGAGGGGAATTGCACAGTTGGAGCGCACGTACGTCTGTCCTCACTCTGCCTCTGTGCTATTTCTAGCAGGAAAACAGGGCAGTCGTGCTTGGGGAGGGATGTCTTGTGCCTTCACAGCTCTTTGCTTCAGTGACTGCAAGTCAGAGCCCAAATTCTGTGTTGAATTTCTTCGTTTTGAAGAACCTAGAAGGGAATTGGATCAGGTGCCATCAGATGCAAAGAAAAAATCCCTGCTTCCAGTGGAAAAATGCTCCCAAGTAATTTAATTGCTCCTATGGTCTCCATTGCTGTTACTAGCTTTTGAAAAGTGCTTTCTTGAGTCCTCCAAGCATGATGCTGAGCTGCAGTCCTGTCCCATGTGGTCTCCATTCAGGGGAAAAAACCTTCCTTGTCTTACCAGTAGGAAGGTATAACAGAAAAATACCAGTCCTCCTGGAATGTGGGCTTGAAATCTGGGTAATCCTTTGCAACAGGAGAACGTGAGACACGTTTGTTCCAGCTTGCCCTAGGAGACAGAATAGGAAGGGGAAATTAGGCAATTGTTGTATGAGAGAATAGAAAAGTGAAACCCAGCTGAATTGGTTTCTGTTCACAAACTGCAGCAATGTGATGCATTTTCTGATGACTTGTGTACAATGGTCTGAATGAAAACTGAGGAGATTTGAATGGTGAGTTTTGTGGTTTCCTGTTTTGTGGTTGGTTTTTTTAATTTTGCATTTATTTGCACTTAAGAGACCTCTGCTGAATTCTCCTTCTTGGACAGAAGATCCAGCCCCTTGCAGCAGAGACTGTGCCAGAGTTGGTGGCCTTTAACTTAAAATAAGCTACTTTGGCACATGAGTTCAGCTTAAGTGAATTAATTTACATTTGACACAAGCCAATACAGGTTCTTTATCAAGCGTTTAATTCTCAGTCTTCTTGCAGGGAACGGTTGATGCGTCTGTCTGTCTGTGTGTCTGTCTTCCTCAGTTTGTAGTACAGACTTGGTTGTTAAAAAAAGAAGTTCCTTTCTTGAATAAAGTAGACGGGTTTCAGGTATTTGGTTTGTGTGGCTTTGGGAATAAAGGAACCACACAGAACAGATACTTCTGTTAAGTGAACCTTCAAAGGAGTAAGAAATATTAAACAAAAAATGGATTTGTGCATTTATTTTGAGCTCTTACAGTGCATTAAGATTGTCTGACAGGAGCGGGGGAAACCCATTAATCTTTCTGTATCTTGGAATACCAAAGGAAGAGGAGCGAAGGTGGTCACGGTGCTTGCTTTCACCAAAGGCACTGTTGTTTTGGGTTGGTTTTCTTTGTTGTTGTTGAAGTTAAATTGGTGTTAATGAAACTTGTTCATCTGATATTAAAAATGCCCCTGCTTTACCACATTTGGCTCCTGGCTTGTCACCATCTCATTGTCTTCTGGGCTAGACAGGGCTTGAATGTCTGATACATAAACCAGGCAGATTTTCTTCCTCCAAAAAAAGCTATTGGCTGCTCTTCTCCTCCAAGCAAGATAAAATGGCATGAACCCAGTTCTCTTCCTTTTCAGGTCACTTTGTGAAGTCTGAACATGTGCTCCCTAGGTGCTTTCAGGAAGTCCTGCACTTGTTCTAGCGTGTTCTTCCTGGGCACCAGTGCTGAACTTTGCTCTTTCATTTCTCACCAGCGCGGTTTTGTGCCAGAACTGCAAACAGCACCTTTCCAAAGATGTCAAAGTGCCACCTTTTCCTCTCCAATGAGCAAATGTCAAAAACACCCTGCTTTGCTCGAGGACTCTAGGTATTCACAGAATCACAGAATCGCTCGGTTG